TTTAACTTATAAAAAATTAACAAAACTTAAAAATTTTTGCTTGAAAACTCAAAAATGTCAAATTACATGGTCAAGATTCGAACCACCACCAAACAATCCATAAAAAGTCTACAAGCACAACTCTACCAATGCACTAGTGGAGCACATTATGACACAAAAATTTATAAAATCTTTTAAATTTGTAAAATCTCAATTTTATTTGATTTTATCTGATTTTATGATTTTAGAATTTTACCATTCCGAGTTTATGGGATCTCAATTTTAACCTTGATTTTACACAAATTGCATATTTAAAATCGTAAAATCATACGATTTTACAGGTTAAAACGTGATTTTAACAACCATAACAGGGAGATTTGATTTTATTAAATATCTTAATTCTTCAAAAGAGCAATGCAAGACAAAGGTCAAGCTTATTAGCCTTTGGAGGCAAAAGAATTTTTAGCAGTAAAAACTAGATGAGAATATTGAAATGCTTCTTTTGGATGAATTGGTGAATATTTTGTGTTTTGATTTTGGTTTTCATTTGATATTCTGAAATTTGATTTTAGAGATTTCTCACTTCTAACACTTTTATATGTTTTTTTTTGGAGAGGATTCAAGCAACTATTAGGCTTTCATTGCGTTTGAAAGATGCTTTTTAGGTATATAAGGCAGTGCCCTTATGCACTAAATAATCTAGAGGTGCAGGATCTACAAACACCTAGGAGATCTTCCATTATTCTTTGTGTAACTACCACATGTGGAACTGCAAAATAGTACCATCCCTTGCCCAAATGATAAAATTTCAAAACCATTGCATTTGCACAAATGTTAGCTTCCCTAAATACATGACGGATTTCACATTGCCAATCCCTTTGTAAAAGCTCTCGATATCTACAGAACAAAACTCCATAAGGATCAAGATTGGTTGTTCCATGCATAACCTTATGCATAACCTTAAAGATGCTTTCAATAAAGGAAAAGTTTATACAATTTCAAATTATAAAGTTTCTTTAAATAAAAATGCTTTTAAATCTACCACCCATACATACAAGTTTTTAATTCTAAGTTGACTCATAGTTTGGTTAATGGTTCCGATATTCCTCATTAATGATGCCTGCAGTTTGGCTTTATAATGATGCCTGAACTTCCTTATAATATATATGGACTCTTGGGTTCATGTCAAAACCTCTTTCTATAAATTGAGATACTAATAAGACATACTTTTATGATAAAACTGAATTCTTATGTCTGC